CAGTTCAATCCTCTAGAACACACACTGTATGTTCATTAAAAGCATATAACATAAAGGAGGAAAAAAAATAAATGGCCATGAATTATTCATATTCCTTTGCCTTAGTGGCTTTTAAAAAGTCCCTGAATAATGACTTATAGGAAGAAAATGAAGAATCTTTTCTCTCTTCTCAAATCTACTAGAGGCAGATATTAGCATTCACTAAATCACAAGCATTGTGTTTCCGTATTGAGCGGGACTATGGGGAAGTGTAAGGGCTACACTGAATACATAAAATCTATTATAAAGAATGAGCAATGGGATACTGAATGGTTTAAGATGAATTTTAATGTTTTAAAACTGTACGCTGGTTTGACTGTTCTGGACACTGTAAAGCAGTGTGTGTTGCTTATATACTGCCCCATAGCACTAAGAGCACTCTCTGGGTGATTTAATTATGCAGGTTACACATTGTTTCCCCCCCACCAAGAGCTGGGTACTCAATTTATCAACCTTGGAAGGGTAGAAGGCAGATCCAACTTCGAGCCAGCTACCTGAGTTCTGCGGGATCAAACTCAGGTTGTGAGCAGTTTTGGCTGCAGTACTGCAGTTTAACCAGTACACCATGATGCTCCTGTGGTCCAAAACATGGACTTCTTTTATACTTGAATATACTTGTCTAGGTTTGTTTATTCATTTGCTAATAACCTTTCCTGGTAAGGTAAGGGTACATAGGGCCTGATAACTAAAACCCGGCTCTCAACTATCAAAATTTTATTTATTTATTTATTTATTGGGATTTCTGGGAGTTGCAGTTCAAAAACACCTGAGTAACCCAAGGTTAAGAACCACTGAATTCTAGGAGTTCAAGAGAGTAGAAAGGCTGTAGAGAAAGTGTCAGGAGAGGAGATGTTTTACATCTTTGTTCGTATCAGAAACACCACTGTACAATGAATAAATATCACATAATTTTCATTCAGGAAAGGAGACCATCAAGAACATTTGGAGCAGCTAAGAAGTCTTCCATAGTAGGAATCTATGTCAATGTGATGTATTTTACTGCTATGCAGGAGGAGATGGCTGTATGCTGCTTGCTCAGAACAAAAGCCTCCCCGCCCACACTTCACCAGGGGAAGTAGCAAAAGGTTAGACTGTACTGAATGGATGACATCCTTTGAAGCATGTTTTAAGCATTTGGGGAATGGTGCTGCCCAGTGGTACAGAAGGTCCCTGGTTCAAATTTCACTGTCCCACCAAATGGGATTTTAGCTTTGCAAGCCTGGGAAGGGATCTCTGCCTAAGATTCTCAACTACTAGACTAGGTAGAGTAGAGAATATTGGTCTCAGTCTTATACTGAGTCTGACTCCATATTAGAGCCTCGTGGCGCAGTGGTTAAAACGCTGTACTGCAGCTAAAACTGTGCTCACGACCTGGGGTTCAAATCCCAGGTAGCCGGCTCAAGGTTGACTCAGCCTTCCATCCTTCCGAGGTCGGTAAAATGAGTACCCAGCTTGCTGGGGGGGCAATGTGTAGCCTTTATAATTAAAATTGTAAACCGCCCGGAGAGTGCTCGTAGCGCTATGGGGCGGTATATAAGTCCAATAAATAAATAAATAAATAAATA